CCACTCACATCTATTACAAAATCATTGATAGTAAATGTTGGTGAAACCTTCGTATTTCCATCTAAAAAAGAAAACCGATAGTTGATATGCATACATTTTATGTATAGAAGTGAAACTTACTTAATTTAAGACTATCATTATATTCTTGATATTTTTTTTTGATTTTGTTGACTGTATCCATGTAATAATGATTAAGTGTAAATACACGTTGTTCAATTTCAAGCATCTTTTTTATGTCATTACTGCATTGTTCTTCATTTTCATCGATAGTACGTAAAATGATATCCGTTAATTTGTGTATTATTTGATATTTATAGCTTGTTTCTTCAGCAAAAACTTGATTTAATATTTTAATCAACACTTTTTTCGTATATTCAGTATACGATTCAATTAGCTCTTTACACGGTTTTCGAAATTTGTTTTGTTCAACACGATAAAGTCGTTCAATGATGCTAAATGATGGAAAATTAGGTAAAGCAACACCAGCATTTTCTTCAAGTAGTTTTAATACGAGTTTTTGATATTCTGATGAAAAGAAATGGGTGAAAGAATTTTTTAGTTTTTCTCTATATTCTTTTTGTCGATTATATAGTTGAAAGGCAATACGTTCATCAAACTGATCATTAGACGTTTGTGTAAGAATAGCTGTTCTTGATAAATCAGTTGTTACAATGGCTGATTGTTCAATTTTCAATTGCATCTCATTATCGTATATGCCATGAACACGTGCATTAATGATTTCACGATATTTTTTAATTAAATCTGTATACAATGCCCAACAATCAATTTCAGAAGTAACCGGTGGTGGCATTTGTTTCAATTCAGATTTCTTTGACTTGATTTCTTGTTTAAGTTTATCTATTATTGAAGGAAGAGTTGAACGAATGCGTTCTTGTTGAATTAAAGCAAGTCGTTTGACTAATTGCCCACTGCCAAGATATCGCTCTGGTACATCTTCAAAAGCTTTATTGGAACGAAAAAATTTTTCTTCTCGTCGTCGCATTTCATCAAATGGAATATTTTGATCTATTTCTTCTTGTGTACGATTAAGGACAGCTACACAACCAAGTTTTAATGTCATTGAGCCTGGTCCAATACCTTGAAGTTTCTCACCAATACCTTTATCAAATTTATCAATTTTTGATACAGCAATCAATTGTCGTTCACCTTTCAATATAGATTTTAGTTTAACAATTAGAAATAAATTATACATTCTTACACTGTGGATCATTCTTTTTTGCAAGTTGAATCGATTCTGAGGTTGTAAAATCGACAGATGAAGGAATTACATGCAAGACAATAGCTGTTTCTGGTTTAATATAATTTTCAATAAGTTCAACTATATCTTTATAAATAGTTTTCGATTGTCCACCAACTGGATTACGAGTAATACCTATAAAAATGGGAAGAAAATATGCGTTAACAGTTGATTCATTTTATCATATGATGCATAGTTACCTGGTAAATCAATCAATGTCAAATCTGCTTGGATATCTTTCTTATATACCGTTAAGTAAATAGGCTTTGATGAAACGTTAAGTCCTGCACCTGCCAATCGTACTGTACAATCTGTTACCTTGCTCATGATCTCAGAAAAGTTGTTGACTCTGATCTCAGGTACACCTTCACATCGAATAGTAGCATACTCTTTCTCATTCAATCGAATATTTTTCATGCGTAATTCGAGTGGACATCGAGTGCAAATATTTTGTGCTCGTGGCAATTGGACCCCACTTAGTGCTTCGAGAACAGATGATTTACCTACCTTAGAATGTGTCAAAGATGAGATTGATATTGTAATCAATATGTCATTTTACTTACTGATTGATCGCCAACAACAACAATATGAGGAAGAGAAATTTTCTCATAATGTAATATTTCTCTCATGTCATCAACGATCTTGAGAAGACGACGAGATTCTGCAGTGTTTAGCTCATCAGTGAGCATGTTTAAATCGATATTGTGTGCACGTTTAAGGTTCGTCAGAAGTAATGTTTTAATTTTTGTGGCACTCTAGATTTTTCTTTTGCTTTGATGTCTGCTATAAGAACAAAACATCTGTATTTATATAATTTTTCTTTGTTTTCATTGCTTTCACATTTTCACTTTCGATTGAGTAAGTCATATTGCCGTCTGTTTTTCTTTCCTGAAGTGTAATGTTTTTGTTTCATACTTCACGCAAAACATAGTTATCGGATTCTTATGTTTTGATCGACTGTCTAACAACAATGATGAGAAAAACAAGAATTTTATTTAAAGGTAACAAAAAAAAAATAATTGAACTGTTGCTAGAGTAAATCAACAATTGAATATAACAAAAAGAACACGTCATACTTTTTCAAATGTTCTGATTGTGAATGTCCTCCAACTACATGGTATTCACTATCAAGTCTCATTTTTTGTATCATCTAGATGAACATAATTATTGTGACGTGATACACCTTTTATATTCCATACAGTCGATGAGGGAGTGTGGGTGTCACACCCTGCATTGGTGCTCACACTCACACCCACGTCCCTCAAGATTAGTGATGGCATAAACTACTCTTTTCATCGATCTCTCACCATCTTTGATTAATCAATTGTCCATAGCAACGCATCGTTTGTCTTTTAGTATATTCTTAATAACATCTGCGACAGCTGCTGTGCTTGGAGATTCTACTGAAGAACAGAGAAAGTCGAAAATTGCACTACAACATGTTTTTGTATTGCTGATAAAGAAGATAAGATAAGATAAACCCTCGCTTCTAAGTTCCCCTATCAAATAGTTGCATATGAATTGCACCAAATTTTTGTGGTGCACATCGATCGATTGTCGTAAATATTCGATTTTAAGTCAAAATATTTCTCTAATAGGTTGAATTAACAGAGAATATCGTTTTGAAACAAATATTTTTTAAAGAAAAATAACTAAAAATAAAAGATGATTGTCTGATCACAGAGACGATTGCACAGCATGCAAAAAGTAGCATGACGTTTGAGCATCCTTGACAGTTCAGCTTCCAAGAATAGAGTTTCTTAGATGTGACCCTGAAACGATTATTAATGCAAGAAAATGATTGTGTTTAAAAAGCTTATTAGAATAGTAGAAAGTAAATCACTAGTTGTCTCAAGTCGTGCCGGAACTACTGAAGAGCCGATAATGAGGTAACGAGTAGACGAATTGAGGTAGACAGTAACGGTGACAGTGAACATAAAGATGAGGACAAGGATGAAGAGAGAATTTGAGGATAAAAATGAGAGGAGGATCAAAAAAAAGGTAACGGAATGAGTTAACTATTTACTTGGTCACCTTGTCTTTGGCGGTTTCGGTACGAGTTGAGGCAACTAATGGTTTAGTTCCTAGTTGTTTAATCAAATTTTTAAATATAATATTTTTTTTTGCAGCTCACATGTCGAGGTCTCCATGGAGAGAGGTCAACTGTCAATATAACATGGTTACATATTGTGGATTCCTAGCAAAACTTATCGAAAATCAATATTAAAATGTGTTTATGTTAGCAGCTGCCTATCAAATAACTGAACTCAATTATATAAAATATTAATGTAAAATAGTTCATTTTAATATAAAATAGGAATAAAGCAAATTAATAATATTATTAAAAAGTAATATATAGGTTTTATGCTTTTAAATTATATTTACTCTCCAAGGATTGTTTTCGTATAAAAACAAAAATCAAGAAACACTCAAGCTGGTTTTTCCAGCATACGCTCGATTCATGGTGTCTATAGAAAAATAAAGCAAATATTTATGTGTTTTGTTACCTCTATTTTGATGGTTGCCTCGTGATAAGCATGTTATTTTGAAAGAGATTGTTTTTATCGTTCTGTTGTATTGCTTGGAAAAAACCAAGCGAATTGCTTTCATTCGCATTACAGCAAAGGTCGTCGAAGCCCAACCGAGGTATACGTTTTTGATAAGAACGCAATTAACAAACTATTTATTTTCTTGCGAAACTATTCTCTGATATATCAATATATATTCAACAATCCTATTCAGTTTTTTTTTATTAGATCAATTCTAAATTCTATACTTACGAAGAAAGGTCTCTAATTGATTAACGCTCTTTTTATTGATATTTTGCCCATATGTTGATACAGTGAGACTAGAAACAACCTAATAGGATAATGGGTGTGGATGTGAGTGTGATTCTTTGCTTCATCAACACCCAAATCAAATAACGGAATTTCGATCTGACATTTTGTTAACATTGATGTCTAGTGACTCGTATATTAGCCTAAAAATTTCAACCAAAACAAATGCTTCTTTCTCGAAATATTCCATTCTCAAGAAAATATTATCGTGCTACACACATGTCAACAAAATCGACTTTTATCGAAACTCAATATTCCGAAAAACAAGGATTTGTTTTGACTGAAACGTTTTCAGCTAATTTACAAGTCATAAGACCTGAGTATGAATAAAATGTCAAATCGAAATTCGGTTATTTCATTTTTTACGAAATCCCTTGTCATAGGTGGTAAACACAGTTAAATGATCATAACTTGAAAAAGAATGCCTATCAGCCATTATCTTGTTAGGCTTTTTCTAGTGTCTCATCGAAACCTACATATAGACAAAATATCAACAAAAACGGTATGGATCAGTTGGAGACCTTTCCTCATTAGATCTATATAATGTGAAAGAAAAAATACGCTGACTGTTGAAAACATATCTATGAATTTTGACATATTATATATCTAATCTTAGTTACAAATAATAACAGATCAATGATGAAAAAGTCAGTTTTATGTAGCGATTCAGACAAGGACTATTCATTCAAATTCTGTTTTAATCATCGTTGAGCTCCTTATAACACTATAATGAGTATTTTTGAGAACTTATCATATTTTAGGAAAGCCAAACTGTTTCGAAACGAGAGCACAAATGGCAAGTACCTCGTACTGAGTCAAGAACACAAGTCAAATGATGGCCGTTGGTAAGAAAATAAATGAGACGTCTTCAGAATATTGAACGATTATTTATAGATATTTTAAAGACTAACAATAACCTCGAAAGACGCTTTTTTACATATATCTCTGCTTGAACTCAAATAGAGTGCATCGACTACATTAGAAATAGCTTTGGTGAAATTCGGGAAGAATCATATTGGTAAAAGCAGAAGTAAAACTTCTAAGTTTATTGTTTGTTACTTTCACTATGATAGAGGACAATTAACCTAAAAACAAAACGGTCATGTTAGAGAACATCCATCTAGAAACATAATTTATTGCAATATGAGAAATGCTAGTTTAGCTCTCATTTGAGAGGTATTTCAAGGTATTGATCTGAGCTATCGGATAATTCCACAGAATTGAAGTTACTGACTCATCGTCGATGTTTCGAACTGTCGAAACATGACGCTTCAACGAATCAATCTCATCGTTAATGCCCGTGATGAACCTATCTTCGATGGATTCAATAGATGATTTTTCCAGAGTTAGCAGTAGTAGATATTCGTTTCTGACCCTTGACGTCCATCGATTATTTGTGTAGAACGAAAGATTCGAATATGTATACTTACGGTTACAGAACTTGTATACATGAGATGTACTAAACATTACATTTTAGTCTTAGGTAAGTTTACGGTTCTTTATAGAAGCTGTATGGCTTGAAATTTTTCGTAACTTTCTTTTAACGTATAATTTAAAATAATTTTTTTTTTTAATTTGTGAATATATTGTGATTGTGGATATTAACAATGAATAACTGTCTTTTATGTATTTCGTTGTATTAAGCAGAAGAGTTATGCGGAAGAAAAAACGATATTCTAATTTATTTGAGTTTTTAAAACAATTTATGCAAAAATATTGAAACTAAAACAAGAATAAATCTCGATTGGTTATGAGAACATTTCCATCGAGAATGCGCACATATTTCCATTATGGTTTTACCTGTGGACGATCAATATTTCTATTAAAATCCAAAGATTATTTTAAAATATGTAGTGTACAAAAATGACTCTAGTGCCAACCATCAATAAAAGTAGAGAATCATTCAAAAAATGAGGGTGTGAGTGTGAGTGAGAGCATGGGTGTGGATATAACTTTTTCTGAACACCGATATCCACATCCACATCCCAAAAAATCGACTATTAAATTGAGCTAAGGAATGGCATCGATAATCATAGAATCAAACGTAAAAGCATATATTTAGGCAAGAATGTTTAAATTTATTCCACTCTTTTCATACAATGAATTTTCACAGATTTAAGACTAAGAAAAAAAATGTAATGGTTTTCTGCGTCAATTTGCTTGTTGTGTTACTGAATAAGCAATTACACCTATCTACGCTCTGTTTTTAAAAAAGTGAGAAAAGATAAGGAAAGATGTTTTGAATATAATTCATAATCAAAATAAAAAGCAGAAGATGAAAGCGTGTCAGAATAATTTTGGTAAGGTAGAAAATAATCTAACGTAAACGTTGGTGTATAAAATAATTCTACAATAAGGTATATTCATTCTGAATCCTTTCGATCGATCTTTCAATATTTTTTTCATAATTATGGCTACAGCATTAAGTTATGAGTCGCAAACACCAATTCTTCGTAGGCCGAGAAATTTTCAATGGTGTTGGAATTTATCTGATAACTTGCCAAACTGTGACCCAGAATCATGGGAAAAATACAGTGATATTGAAAATGAAATCATCGAAGACGCTTTCATGGACGGAAAAACAGAAGTTGAAATTGACGGCGATCGTTTAGTTGACTTAGGTTATATGCGAGATTACACAAAATCGGACAAGTCTAATGTACATTTTATCAAACGTTTTCCCTTAATCAAAAGTGAAGCAAATGCTTCACTGCGCACCGAACGATTTTCCACATCACTTCCGATACTTTGGGAATCGTCTGACGAAGAATTTGGCCTTGATCCACTAGTTCGACAGGAAATTCATAATCGATATATTAACCAGAAAGGCTGTGGTAACAAAACATTTTCGG